TCTAAGGGGTTAACCCAATCCCATGTCATGGCTTCAATTATGTTGCACAGGGACCCTATCTCGTCGTGTAGAACTGCTCTTTAATGTTTCTGAGACAAACTATTTACAGGAACAGATTACAGTCTCATTTTCCTCTCCTGGAGTGGCTGGTGCATTTGAACTGCTACAGACCTGGTGGTTAGTAATCCAACCCTCAATCCTCTGCACCAGTAAAGGCCAGTTAGAACACACAGTAGGGAACACAGAAAGGACTTTTAAGAATGCTTGGGCGAGTTAAAATGTTTGTCACGCAGCATATGACCCTGCCCAAGGCCCCAGAGCATCATAATGTCTTCTATATTCAGGAATGCTTTGTGTGGGAAAAAGTGTGGGCAGTCCTTAGGAAAGGCTGGGTTTTATCCCTGGATTTCTGAGCTGTGGAGCAGCAACAGTCCCGCAAGAGTAGGAGTTGGGAGGCAGAAGTATTTGGGAGAATAGAGTGTGAGAAATGTTCAGCACTCTTTGGGAGGGCTTTGGCCTTGGGGATTTGAGCCACTCACGTCAATCTCAGGGAGCCCTGGTGGCGCGCTGGGTTACACACAGTCTAACTGCAAGTTGACCCGTTTGAACCCACCAGCTGCTTGGAGAAAGTCACGATTCAAAGTCTTGGAAACCCAAAGGGGCAGTTCTATTCTGTGCTGGGAGATTGCTATGTGTCCGAATCAGCTCACTGAGGGTGGGTTTGTTTGCTCGTTTGTCACTTCACATCTAGTTTACAAAAGCTACCCACGCGCTTCCACTGAGTCCATTCTGACTCACAACAACCCTATAGGACAGGGTAGAAATGCTCTGTGGGTTTCTGAGATTATAACTCTTCACAGGAGTGGAGAGACTCATTGTTCTCCTCTGCAATGGGTGGTGGTTTTGAACCGCCGACCTTGCAGTTGGCAGCCCAACATGCAACCTACTAAGCCATCAGAACACACTCATGTTAAAAAGTAGGAAAAACAAGAAAGAAGAAAGAGCCCTGAGGGGTATGGCCGGAGGAGTGTGTGTGTGTGAGGGGTGTGATCTGGGGAATGTGTGTGTGTTTGTGCCTGTGTGTGTGTGTGCGTGCAAGAGAGGAGAGGTATCCTACACTTTAATGACCAGAGGGAAGCTACTCATTGATATAGATAGATAGAGATTTTCTCTCTCTCTCTTTTTGTTTTGTTTTGTTTTAATCACCGGTGACTGACAAAGCCAATGTCTCTCAGCAGATTGCCCCCTGGTTGCAAGGACCTTTTGAATGGTGTATTGTAATGGACAGGCTGTGCTGGACAGGATCCTTCCAGGTTCTGGAGACCAGGCCAAGAAGTGGGGACACAATGGTTTCGTTGGTCCCCAATGTCAATATACTCCATTGAATATTTGAGATAGGCTCCCCCATCCCCAAAAGGCCACTGCCAGCCAGTCCATTCTCAAGGTTTCTAAGACTGTCAATCTTTATGGGAGCAGACAGTCTCATCTCCCCCACTGAGTGGTGGATTTGAACCACCCATCTTGGGGTTAGCCTAACCCACAGTGCCACTCGTGCTTCATCATGTTGGAAGAACTAACCTTTAATCAGTGAAGTGATGTGTATGTGATAAGTAAAAGTAAGTAACTACCCCCTGGAAGAATGAACTTCAGAGGACGACACTGAAGTTGCAGCTCAGGGAGAGGGACATGTCTGATCAGAGCACACGGGAGCAAATGAAGGGGGAGGAAGAGTCACATCCTGGCTACCAAGCCCTGAGAACGATATTCTTGCTCGGAGCAGCCAATGCACAGAGAGGACCATATGGCCAGCCCCACCATGAGACATGACGTCCCTTACTGACCCATAGCGCTATGGGGGACAGCACTAGAGGCACAGTGTGGAAATTGTGCCTGGTCTGACCCTACCACACTGAGGCAAAACACTAAGAGTGTGCAACAGAACAGCAAGGGGAGCAGAGTAATGAAGTCCCCAGGAAATACCAAAAATAGACTGTGGGGCCAAGGTGTGGTACCCGATCAAACTTGACCAGAAAACACTCTTAAAGGTCAACAAACAGACCTTGAACTATAGCAGTGGTTCTCAACCTTCCTGATGCCTCAACCCTTTAATACAGTTCCTTATGTTGTGGTGACCCTCAACCATAAAATCATTTTCATTGCTACTTCATAACTATAATTTTGCTACTGTTATGAATCATAATGTAAATATTTGATATGTAGGATGTATTTTCATTGTTACAAATTGAACTTAATGAATGCATAGTGGTCAATCACAAAACAATATATAATTATATATTGTGAAATATTTCTAATGACAAATCAATGAAATTTTGTCTTGAAGCATGGTGCAGCATGGGTAACAGTCTTCACACCAGGTACTCCTATGTGGGTGTATCTGCATGGGGGCAGACCCGTCTGGAGACGGATAGAGGAGCGGTTCTCAGTTCCTAAAACCATCAGAAATATGTGCTTTCCTATGGTCTTAGGTGACCCCTGTGAAAGGGTCGTTTGACCCCAAAGGGGTCGCAACTCACAGGTTGAGAGCTGCTGATTTATAGGCTTTTCTTTTTGTTGTTGTTGTTTTCTTTTGTTGCTTTGTTTTGCTCTGTCTTGTTTTTGTGCATATTATTATCTCTGCAGGTCTATTTGGATAAGATAGGCGGGATAAACAATCCGGAGGAGAAAACAACAGACCAATGGTTCCATGGAGACATGGGAGAGGGGGAGGCTGGGGATAGGAGGTGGTGTTGACCAACCCAGGGACAAGGGAACAAATGATCCAAAATTAGTGGCAAGAGGGTGTGAGAGGCCTGGTAGGGATTAGCAAGGGCAATGTAACCAAGAGAAATTACTGAAACCCAAATGAAGGCTGAGAATGATAGTGGAACAAGAGGAAAGTAAAAGGAAATAGAAGAAAGAACTAGGAGGCAAAGGGCATTTATAGAGGTCTAAATACAGGCATGTATATATGTAAATATATTTATATAGGATGGTGGGGAAATAGAACTACATGCATATATTTATAGGTTTAGTATTAAGATAGCAGATGGACATTGGGCCTCCAGTCAGGTATTCCCTCAACGTAAGAACACTTTGTTCTATTAAACTGGCATTCCATGATGCTCACCTTCCGAACACAATTGGCCAAGACAAAACGGGTGCATAAGCAAATGTGTTAAAGAAAGCTGATGGTGCCTGCCTATCTAAAGATATAGCATCTATGGTCTTAAAGGCTTGAAAATAAACAAATGGCCATCTAGGTCAGAAGCAACAAAGCCCACATGGAAGAAGCACACCAGCCTGTGTGACCATGAGGTGTCGAAGTGATCAGGTATCAGGCATCAAAGGACAAAAAATCATATAATTGTAAATGAGCGTGAGTGCAGAGTGGAGACCCAAAGCCCATCGGTAGGCAACTGGGCACCCCCTTACTGAAGGGTTGCGGGGAGCAAACGAGCCAGTCAGGGTGCAGGGTAGCAATGATGAAACATACAACTTTCCTCTAGTTCTTAAATACTTCCTCCCCGCACTATCATGATCCCAATTCTACTCTACAAATCTGGCTAGACCAGAGGGTATAACTGGTACAGATAGGAACTGGAAACACAGGGAATCCAGGACAAATGATTCCTTCAGGACCAGCGGTGAGAGTGGTGATACCGGAAGGGTGGAGGAAAGGTGGGGCAGAAAGGGGGAACTGATTACAAGGATCTACATATAACCTCCTCCCTGGGGGACAGACAACAGAAAAGTGGGTGAAGGGAGACATCCGAGAGTGTAAGATATGACAAAATGATAATTTATGAATTATGGAGGGTTCATGAGGGAAGGGGGAACAGGGAGGGAGGGAGAAAATGAGGAGCTGATTTTAGGGCCTCAAGTGGAAAGCAAATGTTTTGAAAATGATGATGGCAACAAATGTACAGATGTGCTTGACACAATGGATGTATGTATGGATTGTGATAAGAATTGTACGAGCCCCCAATAAAATGAGTTAAAAAAAAGTAAAAGAACACAGAATATTTTACAACAGTAGGGATAGTCCTTGTTTAAATGGGCGGGCCTAACAGATAAGCACATAGGAGAAAAGCTAAGAATTCCTGGATCGGAAGCTTCCAGTTGCAAAAGCTTCTCAAAAAAGAGAAATCCTGGTCAGAAATACAGGCAGCACTAAACAAACAACTCACCTTACTGCCATTGAGTGGATTTGGACTCCTAGTGACCCTTTAGGACAGGGTAAAGGGTTGCCCCCTGGGTTTCTGTACATCTTTAAGGGAACAAAAAGCTCGCTCTCTCCCACGGAACAGCTGGTCGGTTTGAACTACTGACCTCGAGGTTAGCAGTCCAATGCATAATTACTACACCACCAAGGTGCCTTAAAGTAGCCTTCTTCAACGGGCAAAGCACTGGATTAAGAGTCTGGGGACCACTCTTCTAGTCTCAGCATTGCTTCTTTTTAAAACTTATTTATTTATTTTATCGTTTTATTAGGGGATCATACGACTCTTATCACAATCCATACCTGCATCAATTGTGTAAAGCACATTTGTACATTCATTGCTCTCATCATTCTCAAAATCAGTATTGCTTCTTATTGAAAGTCACGCATCCTCTTTGAAGCCAAAGTTCTACCCTGTCCTGTAGGATCGCTACGAGTCGGCATGGACTCGGGGGCAGGGAGGCAAGGAATGTACTAGATAACCTCTAAATTTCCATCCAGCTTTAAATTATTCTCTTTCGTGATACTTCACCGACTTGTTTTACTGGCTCCGGAGCTCTCCCGCGCCTCCCTCTGCCGGCTGCTCCCGCATCGTCCACTAGAGGGCGCTGCAGGCAGGCCCAGGACAGCGTGTGGTGGGCGGAGTCACGGAATCAAGGAAGTCACCAGGAGGGGCGTTGATTGGCCCCGACTGGGGCGGAAAGGGGCGTGAAGAGGGTGGGTCCAGCAGCGCGGTGACGGCACGCTGGTGGGGGCGGGGCCGGGTTTGCGCAGCCTGAGACGCTGCGGCCACCGCGGAGCTGGGGATTAATGGGAAAAGTTTTGGCAGTAGACACGGGATCCTGTGGAGCGTGCGGGACGCAGGCAGCGGTACGGGAGGTGGCCGGGACAGGTCAGTCCGGGCCGGGGGAAGCGGGCGAGCAGGCGGCGGAGCGAAGCTACGGCCGCGGCCGAGGCTGCCCTCGGGGCTGGGGCGCCAGGCCCGGCGGGAGGGGTGTGGGGAGCGGTCGGGGTCGGCGGACAGCGCCGCGGCGGCTGGCGGACGCTCCGGCCCGGGCGCGTCTGCGTTCGCGCGTTGCCCTCTGACCTCGATCGCAGTTTGAGCCTGAACTCCAGGCCGCCTCCACCCGACTCTGTGGCCCCTCATGGGCCTCGTGGCCCGGTCTCCCCCCTTCTGTGCCCAGGGTCCTGTCCCGCGCCTCACGCCGGACTCGGGCTCCCTCCTTCCCTCCCCGCTCTGGGGTCCTCAGAGCCCTGGCCCAGAGTTCTATCGCCTCCGCCTCTGCCAGACCCTCCCTGGGACCCTCTCCTCGGTGTCCTTTTCCCCTCCCCCTCCTGTCCCTGTCGTTGCCCTCCGATCCTGGCCGGCTCAGCCTTTGCCTTTCCCGGCCGTGTGCCCCTTCTAACATCGTCTCTGGCCCTTCCCCCACCGTACCTTGCAGGTACCACTAGGTGTTCCCAGCCCCTAGGTGTTTCCAGCCCTCATTCCCGGCCTCCCTGAGTCTCTTCTGCCCTGGTTCCCTGACACCCTGCTATTGCCTCCTCTTCGATTTCGCTCTGCTTACCCCCATCCTGTAGCCCACCTCCTTCTCGCTCCTGGTGCCTTGCCTCTGCTTCTGGGAGAACCTTTAACTCCACACGCTCCTCTGCTGTCCCGGGACCTGCAGTTGAGGTAGCCTTAGTTTTGGGCGGGGGTCTTCAGCCCCTGATTGGGTCAAGGGGCAGAATGTACGAGGTACATAATAGGTATGTCTGCGTGGGAGAACTTGCTGGGGTGTGCATCAGGGGTGACGGGCAATTTGTCTGCCATTCTGCGCCTTCCCGCTGCACTTCCCCTTTATGGGCCTGTTGACTTCCAGGAACCCTTGGGGAGAGACTGCCGCTGAATTGGGCTCGAGCCAGGGGTAGCTGGAGAGCCAGAGGCTTTCAACTTTCTTCCCATCCAGGAAGTGCACTCTGGGCCTCTCACCCTGGAAGTATCAAACATATTTCACTACACCCCCACCCCTCCAATCTCCCATCTCTAAAAGCTGAGAGAAGTCTCCCGAAGGTATACCCCAGAGAACACCTGCGGTCCTTAAACCATTTTCTTCTGTTCTACCTCCAGAGGTAGAAAAAATTTAAACAATTTTTTTTAAATGATTGGGCTTTGAAATAAATTGCAGTCCCCAAAGCCTGGGGGCTGGCAGGCATCTGTCACTTTTATTGTTTGTGGCTGGGAACCAGCTGTTGGCTCTCCCACGTGCATCCATGCCTGAATGTGCCAGGGTCCCGTGTTGGTCACTGAGCAGCTTCTCATGAAGATACTTCTCTCTGCTGCCTTTTCTGTGGGAGCTTAATGCTCTGGGGATCCAAGACAGAGGCCCGGTTTGATGCTTGGTTTCCTTTGCCCAGGCCTGGCATGGGGTGTCTGGTCGATAGCTACCTGGGCAGAACTGCATTATTTAGTCAGACTCAGGAACTTGAGCTGACAGCTCCCAGACTCGGGCCAGAGAGCCCACCACCTTCATGATGTGTCCGCGTGTTTAACCTCCTTGTCTGTCAGAAAGTTCTTTTCTGTCGCCTTCAGTTTACACTCCTTTATTCTGCACCGCCGCTTCCCTAGAGAGCCCTGCCGGAGGGAGCAAGCCTCTGCTGCCCCCGCTCTGACGGGGAGGATTCGGAAAGCGTGATCCTCTCACATGTAGGAGCCCAGGTTGTGTCACCTGGGTCTGTGTTGTGAGATCTCTGCTTCTGAGGACCGTGCTCCCTGGCTCTGAGCCAGAACTGGACACACAGTTGGCACCCTCTAGGAACTGCGGTAGAGAGCCCAGGGAATCAGCTAGACCGGGCCATAGTGGGTGGAATCCTCTTGAGCCCTGACCCTCTTCTGTGGCAGCGCTAGGATTGGGCAAAACTGAGCCAACTCACTTCTCCACCGGGCCCTGAACTCCCTCCTACCCAGCACTCAGAGCAGACACGCGAAGGGGCCTGTTCCCATGAAAAACATCCCTACAGAGTTTCTGTGCCTTATTCTAATGAGGGGGGCATGCAGTAATTTAGCCCAGTCTCTGGCTCTGAAGAAGGACTTACCTCCCTCTTTTGAACACCCTGCTGCTCCTTGTCGTTTCTCATTAGCCCGGGTGGTGGGTGAAAAGGTCTCAAGAAGGGGACAAACCCAGTCAGTTTGGAGCAGCTTGGGGGCCAGATAGTTCCTGACCATTTGCTGGGGCTGTCAGCATCTGAGTGGAGAGTTGGCATTGTCCACAACCAAGTTAGCATTCTGTGGTTCTTGTAGCGCGCAGGGCCGCCGGCCAGTCTGCCTCTCTGCTGCAAAGTGCAAACGTGTGGCCAGAGAGGCCCTGACTTTATTCTGCTCTTGGGGTGACCCGTCAGCTCCCTGGCTTAATGACTCCTGACCCTTTTGTTTGGTTACTCTTCGCCTTGCCTTTCCACCACTGCGTGTCTCCCCTCTCTGGTGTACGCCTCAGCCCACACAGGACGAATTGCCTAGCTCAGCCTGCCAGCCTCACCAGGGCTCACCTAAGGTCCCTCAGAGCCCTTCCTTGAGGTCAGAGTACTGTCACTGTCAGGTGCTGGCCTGGGAAGCCAGTAGGTCTCTGCTTTGGACAGAAGGCAGCTTGTCCTGGCCGTTGTGCAAGCTGACCTGAGGTGCCTGGTGAGGCCAGGGGCGTGTGCAGCCTCTTTTAGGAAGACTTGAACGTGTGGCTTCTAAGGGCTTCAACTGTATCCTGTGGCCAAGGGTTCTCCTCACCTCTTCTCCCACCCCCACCCCCTTTTCTGGGCATTTCCTGCATTCGGGGTCTCTGGAGATGCCAGCCTATCTACCCAGCGTTGGCCACGCTGGCATGGCCCCTTTTTCCTCCCCCCAACATCTCTGTGCACTTTGTCTGTCACATCAGAGGCCCCGTGTCTGATGCCCTGGTGCCATGTTGTCCCAGAGTTCCCAGTGCCTCTTAGCGACAGCCTGGTGCTCCTGAACATTTTTCTGTGCCTTTGCAGCTAGACACTTGGCATGAGCCTGGCCCGGAAGAAGTGGCCCCTTGCGTCAGGTTCCAGACTTGTGGGTCTTTTTCCCCAGCAGCTGGCTCCTGGCCATCATAACTCAGCAGGCTGCTGACTTTGGCCCTGTCTGCATGGGGCATTGGGTAAGGGATCAAGCATGACTCAGGGCATCTCCATGTATGCGCTGCCACCCATGGTGGGTGTTGGCCCTCAGCTCCTTCCTCACCTTGCTCACTTCTCCAGCCCCACCCTGGTAAGATCACCTGGGCCTGAGTCTGCAGGCTCCTTCCACGATTGAGAAACACCTGCTGGCTCAGCGCAGAGCAGCACCATCTGTGTGCTGGGACCATTAGTGTGAGGGACCGGGGTGGAGCCAGTTCACCTCGGGAGCACTTTTTGAGGCCTCATGTTCAAGTATAACTTAGGGGAGGTACTTCTCTGACCCCTGGGTAGAAAGAAGAGGCTTTCTACTCCCGAAAAGAGTTACAGGCTTGGAAACCCACATGGGCAGTTCTACCTTGTCTTCCAGGGTCGCTAAGAGTTGGAATTGACTGGATGGCGGTGCGTTGGTTTGCTTGTTTGTGGCTGAAGATGTTGGGTTTCTTGCTGCCCCACAGTGCTGAGTGGTGTTTGGGGCATGCACGGGGTACCCACAGTGGCTTCTGCTCACTGACAGATGAGGACAAGTACTCCAGAGAGGTAATCCCCTTTCCATTTCTCAGAAGCCTCTCCCACTGACCCCTGACTGACACACCCCAGACTTAGGATCCTGGCCTAGAAGGTGAGACCATTTCCTGGGGGCTGAGCCATACACTCCAGGCCATGGCATCAGGTGCCCAGCACTCGCACATAGTAGGCTTTTGAAATAACTATTAACCTCTATGGCATAAGTAAGGAACCCTGGTGCCACGGTGGTTAAAGTGCCAGGATGCTAACCAAAACTTACTTGATGGCAGCACGTTTGCTTTGTTTTGTGGTTAAATGTCACAACAGTGAAGTGCACCCTTGCTAACTGAAAGGTTAGTAGTTCGAACCCACCCAGTTTCTGGGTGGGAGAAAGACAGGGTGGGCTGCTCCAAGAGATGACAGCCCCCAGGCCCCATGGGGCAGTGCTGCTCTGTCCGCCAGAGTGGCTGTGAGTTGGAATTGACTTGGCAGCGTGCGGCAGCAACCAGCCACAGATGGCTTCAGGATGTTTGCTCGGGTTTTGCACCCACCACAGCAGAACCTCCACAAGGCCAGGGACTTACCCTGGGTCCTGTTGTGCCTGAGGCAGTGCCTGCCACAGAGAAGATGCTGAACGAATAAGAGTGCGTTGAGTGAATCGCAAATGGACTCTCTTCTCTGCCCATCTGGTGCCTGAGCAGCCGAGCCACAAAGACGAGGGTCTTTCATTTTCTTTCTTTTTTTTTTCTAGTTCTTTTCATTTATTTATTTATTGAAACATTTTATTAGGGGCTCATACAACTGTTATCCCAATCCATACACACATCAATTGTGTAAAGCGCATTTGTACATCATTTCTCAAAACATTTTCTCTCCACCCAAACCCCCGACATTAGGTCCTCATTTTTCCTCTCCCTCCCCTCTCCCCCCTCCCTCATCAGCCCTTGATAGTTTATAAATGGGTATTTTGGGTCTTTCATTGTTGACCATTGATGGAACCCATATTTTGAGTGCCTACTATGTGCCAAGTGCCCTGGTGGCGAAGCAGGCTGTGCCTCAAGGTCAGGAGTTTGAAACCACCAGCTGCTCCTCTGCAGGAGAAAGATGAGACTCTCCACTCCCATGAAGAGTCGCAGTCTGGGAAACCGCAGGGAGGGGCAGTTTGGCCCTGTGCTGTAGGGTCGCTATGAGTCTGGACTCGATGGCTGTGAGTCTGGAGAG